CCACCCTTTCTTTCTAACCCCGTCCCAAAAGCCTACATTACGGTCCAAAGAAAGACCTTCCGGTCGATCTTTGAGGATGCCGGGTCAAGCGAGATAGAGGTATGATTTACACCATGGGTAACACTTTGTTCATGGGCGCAAGAGAGAAAATTTGAAATGAGAGAGTCTTATTGGTGAAAACCCTCACGGGCACCGTAAGACGATGGTGAGCTGAGAGAAAATTTAAAATGAGAGAGTCTTATTGGTGAAAACCCTCACGGGCACCGTAAGGCGATGGTGAGTTGAGAGATGAACAAATGAGAGAGGCTTGTTGGTGAAAACCCTTCGGGGCACTACAAGTCGAATGAGGCTCGTGACTTTACAGAGAAATTGGATCAGTGAAAGCCCGGTTTTTGAGGTATGAAGGCACGACATGAACTGAAATATGATTGGTAGGACGGATTAGGCTAATCAGTCCGAAATGCATGTCATGATCATTGGAGCTAGCCGCTTTACTCAGATAAGTCTTCTTTTTCCCCTTCTTCTTCACATAGTCATCTGTGTTCAAAATTTTCCTTTCTTCCTTTTGTCAAAAATCATTTTGTTTGCTCTTTCAGCCTATCTTTATGAGTCCCTTTCGAATTAGCCCTTGTTGAACAAGCAGGAAAGGATTTCAAAGCCTACTACCAGCTACTAAATTGCACAAAGCGGAGTTCGGCCATGCACATCACAATTGACATTTTGGAATAAGAAGTATGGTGATAATTGAGGTTCAGGCAATCAAGTGAATCTTGAACTTTGAGAAAATACAAGAACTCAGCAACTTTCAAAGTGCAAACACGATGCAACAAATGAGTGTAAGAGATTCAGGTCATTCAGAGATTTTGTGGTCCAGTTCCAATTAAAAGGTCAAACAACTCCTTGCTAGCCCGAAGCAGCTAATCAGAATGAAGCATGGCAGGGGCAGAAGCAGACACTCAGCAATGATGCCACAAACTAACCACCACGTTTTCAAACTAACAAGATTTTATTTGTCTTAAACAGGGGCAAAAAATTTTTAATCCACAGGGACCTCCCGTGGAAAAACATGTTCAGAGAGCAAGAACTTCTGTTCAGAATCCTCCAAGAAGGGAGCATGGCTCAGGTAAGTTCATTCTTAGTTCTCAGGACCCTCCTGGATAATGGGATTTGGTCTAAAATTTTCAGGCCCCTCCTGGATAATGGGATTTAGTTTTAAATTTTCAGGACCCTCCTGGATAATGGGATTNCCTGGATAATGGGACTCCTGGATAATGGGATTTAATTTTTAAAAAATTCTCAGGCCCCTCATGGATAATGGGATTTAGTTTTAAATTTTCAGGACCCTCCTAGATAATGAAATTTAATTTTCAGGACCCTCCTGGATAATGGGATTTAATTTAAAAGCTTTTAGGCCCCTCCTGGATAATGGGATTTGGTTTAAAATTTTCAGGACCCTCCTGGATAATAGGATTTAATTTAAAAGCTTTCAGGCCCCTCCTAGATAATGGGATTTGGTTAAAAATTTTCAGGATCCTCCTGGATAATGGGATTTAGTTTTTAAATTTTCAGGACCCTCCTGGATAATGGGATTTGATTTAAAGTTTTCAGGACCTTCCTGGATAATGGGATTTAGTTTTAAATTTTCAGGACCCTCCTGGATAATGGGATTTAATTTTCAGGCCCCTCCTGGATAATGGATTTAATTTTTAAAAAATTCTCCGGACCCTCCTGGATAATGGGATTTAATTTAAATTTTCAGGACCCTCCTGGATAATGGGATTTAATTTAAAAGCTTTCAGGCCCCTCCTGGATAATGGGATTTAATTTTTAAAAAAATTCTCCGGACCCTCCTGGATAAAGGGATTTAGTTTTAAATTTTCAGGACCCTCCTGGATAATGGGATTTAATTTAAAAGCTTTCAGGCCCCTCCTGGATAATGGGATTTAGTTTTAAATTTTCAGGACCCTCCTGGATAATGGGATTTAATTTAAAAGCTTTCAGGCCCCTCCTGGATAATGGGATTTAATTTAAAAGCTTTCAGGCCCCTCCTGGATAATGGGATTTGGTTTAAAATTTTCAGGACCATCCTGGATAATGGGATTTAATTTAAACGCTTTCAGGTCCCTCCTGGATTATGGGATTTAATTTTTAAAAAATTCTCAGGCCCCTCCTGGATAATGGGATTTAGTTTTAAATTTTCAGGACCCTCCTGGACAATGGGATTTAATTTTTAAAGTTCTCAGGACCCCCCTGGATAATGGGATCTAAATTAAAGTTTTCAGGACCCTCCTGGATAATGGAGTTTAATTTAAAGTTTTCAGGACCCTCCTGGATAATGGGATTTAGTTTTAAGTTTTAGCGTAAGCTTTCCCTTTAGAAAATATAATTTAGCTTTAAAGTTATCACTCCTAAGATGACATTGAATTTGAAGTTTTCAGGGCCCTCCTGGATAATGGAATTTAGCTTTTAAATTCTTAGAGCTCTGTAGGTAACATGATCCGATCAACACTCACAAATATGCCCAGATCCCAAACTGGGGCAGAGAAATTTCTTTTGTTTTGTCTGTTTTGTTGTAACGGCAGGCGCCCACCTGGATAACAAGGGAATGCAATTCAAGTTTTTGCAATCAGGCGTCCACCTGGATAACAGGGGAATACATTTCGAGTTTTGGCAATCAGGCACCTACCTGGATAACAAGGGAATACAATTCAAGTTTTGGTAATCAGGCGCCCACCTGGATAACAAGGGAATATATTTCAAGTTTTGGCAATCAGGCACCCACCTGGATAACAAGGGAATACAATTCGAGTTTCGGTAATATCAGGCGCCCACCTGGATAACTAAGGGAATGCATTTCGAGTTTTGGAAATCAGGCGCTCACCTGGATAACAAGGGAATACAACTCAAGTTTTGGAAATCAGGCGCTCACCTGGATAACAAGGGAATACAATTCAAGTTTTGGAAATCAGGCGCCCACCTGGATGACAAGGGAATACATTTCGAGTTTTGGAAATCAGGCGCCCACCTGGATAACAAGGGAATACATTTCGAGTTTCGGCAATATCAGGCGCCCACCTGGATAACAAGGGAATACATTTCAAGTTTTGAAAATCAGGCGCCCACCTGGATAACAAGGGAATACATTTCACGTTTTGGTAATCAGGCACCCACCTGGAGAACAAGGGAATTCATTTCAGGATTACTTTCAATCTGCAAATTCAAGAAGCATCAGGAGCCCGCCTGAAGAACAGGGTCCACTTTTTAGTCTCATGTTGAAGATCAAGTAGAGATTCAAGGAAAGAAGTAGATAGGATCTTGTATTTTTCTTTTGCTGTAATTTTTTCTTTCATTTTTGATGTAATGGCAGGAACCGCGGACCGGAACCTCGACGGCACTTCACTCGATTCTCCACCTCGGTACTCCAGCACACCGAACTACACGTGGCCAGATTCCTTTATACCCAAGGATATGTAGGCAGCTCAGATACCAGGGCTCGGTCACATTCTCTTTTCTTTAGTTTCTGTCTCTCTAAATAAGGGTCGAGTTAAAAAACATGTCTTGTTGATTCTTTGTCTGAAAACTCTTCGCGTTTCCAGTCAAAGAGGGGCAACTGTAGACATGTGATTTTTGACCCTCACCAAGATTTTACATATTTTAACACTTAAATACTTAGTTTAGGTCTAATATAGTTATTTCAACTAATTTTGACTCTTTTACATTATTTTTATCATAAAATTGAAAAATACAAAAAATAGTTTCATTCTTCTCTATTTAATTAAGGTATTAGGTATTTTTGGAAGAATATTATTTTTTACCCATTTTTATTATAATTTAAAAAAAAATACCAAAAATAGCTTCATGTGATAATATAATTTGTTTTAATTAATTAGTAATGATTTTACAATTTTATAGTATATCATTTTAGGAAAGAAATCAATATTTTTAGTCTTGTAAAGCTAAAGGGCCATTTTTAAATACAATTGTAGCCCAAATTTGAAGCCCAAATACCTTACCCATGCCCAAACCCATCAGATTTGTCTCTTATTTTTGAACTAAAAAAAACTAGACCTAGCTTTTCTTCTTCTTTGGAGAACACAACACAAGAACCCTAGCTGAACCCTAACCCCATACCAGTAACGCCGCCGCCAGCCCTCTCCCCAGCCCCATTCCGATCAGTGGTCTTCTTCGCCAAAAGACCAGCGAACTCCTAACGACGACCACCAGTTCTTCAGCCGACTCGCCACAGCCTCCTCTCTCACCAGCCACGCCGCCAGCCTTCACCCTCACCAGAATGACGACCCATCTCTCGCCCTCATACCAACGAACCCAATCTCCACAACCACAAAACTCGTTCCCGCCGACCAACTCCGCGCTGCCGACCCCGTCACCCTTCTGCAACTCTCCAGACACCAACGCCGACGACCCCGATCTCCAGCAGCGGAACCCAGCAACCCTAACGCCCTAGAACCCGCCGGAAATTCACCTCACGCCCTCCTCTAATCCGTCACCCTCACCAACTAAATATGAAAAAACAAAAAAAAAAAAAAACAAAAAAAACAAAAAGGAAACGTGACAGAATCTGAGAGTGAAAATGATTTGAAGTTAGTTTTGATTCAAGTTTCATTTTCCATTTGTTTTTTTAAAAAAAAAATCAGAAAACAAAGAAAAAAGGGGTGTGACAGAACTTATTTCAATGGGGAGGTTGTTGGGTGTGTGTGAACAAAGTCCTACATGGAAAGTAGAAAGAAAAATAATTCTACTTATAAGGAGTTGAATACTCTTAATGGTGTGAGGCCTTTTGGGGAAAACCGTGTGGGCTTGGCCCAAAGCGAAAAATATCATACCATAATAAGAGTATCGTTAGGCCGTTTTAGTGCAACACAGCCCTGGCCACAAAATCTAAATATGATTGTGTAATTAAATAAATGACTTGGTTATATAAATATTTTTAAAACATCCATATATAGAACTTAAACTTCTTTTCTTTTTCAGCATTACTTTCTCACAAAAGAAATTTATTGAAGAATGTTACCTCCTTGGACTAGGTTATCTCCAACTCCCCATTTGCGGAGGGCAAGCAAACATGCTAAAGTTGAAGAAAGGGAGTCCTTGACAAGCAATGAATGGCTAGGATTTAATCCCCAAGATCCATCTTCTCTTTGATTTTCAAGAATCCAATCCAAGCACTGTGGAAAACATGGCTGTTTTACAGAATTTCTTGAAGGTATCATAGCTACCCATGCTGTATCATAAGAAGAAGGAGATAACTCTACTTTCTGAAATGTTTTCTTTATTCTCTCCTTTGCCTCTTCGAAACTATCCTACAAATGAGAGATAGACTAGTTCTTTAATAATAAGATGAAGAATTAACCTAAATAGTTACCGACCCAATCACTTATATTAATAATAATCAACAAATATGTAATATGCATATAAACATTTATAACCAGTATATAATCTATGTATACTAGTTGGAAAAAGGAAGCTATGACTCGACTGGCTATTTGCATAAAGATCTATAATAAGAAAGAAGAAGAAAGGAACAGAAAGGAATGTATAAGTGGGACTTTGGACAATATCTGGTAAAGTTAAAAAAAATTGAAAAGAATTATTTGGAAATTGATAAAAAAGATAAAATTTTGTAAGTGAAAACAATTATTTAACGCGAAATATTCATCAAACTAATTTTTTTTATTAAACATTTCACCATTATTTCCGATTGAACATACTTGCATATTTGTAATTAAAGTCATGACCACCCAGAGGCGGATCCAGGATTTAAACTCTATGGGTTCAACTTTTAAAATTTAATTTTAACATTGAACCCATTATATTTTTAATGTTACAGGTTCAAATCTATTATATATTTTTGCAATTTTAATGAATTTTTACACATAAATTTCTACTATGCGTCTAAAGTTATGGGTTCAATTGAACCCATAACTACCACATTGCATCCGCCTCTGCAAACACCCATTTTGTGCAATTGTTAGTATAGAGGCGGACTCAGGATTCGATGGTCGCGGGGCACTCGACATTCAATATAAATTTCTTACTGCTCATATAGATTGGTACGAGGGCCTATGCTAATATCTGACTATTTTTGAAGAGATTAATTATATAGAGTTTTTGCCAAAATTTCCGGATGCCAGTGACCCCTCAACCTATAGTGTACGTCCGCCTCTGAATTAGTAGGGACATGGACTAGTTCCTTTCAATTAGGCTGAATACATAGACGACCTCCTAAACTTGTTCGGACTTTTCATCTAAACACAACCTTGGTACACATAGATCTGGACTGGTAGATAAAATAGTTGTAGATCGATGGAGCTTTTCAACAGTGTAGTAGTAGTAATTATGTATGTTTAGTACACACACATATACATGTAAACCTATTTGATTGGACACAGAGTTTAAGAAAAAATGAAGAATTTTGAACTTGGATAAAATGAGGCAGATATATTTTGTGTGACTATCAATTATTGAATAGAACTAAATTATTTCCAAATATGAAAAAGGGATCATTCTTTTTGACACAGACTGAAATAGGAAATAAGTTCAGATAAATTGAAACGAGGGAGTATATAATATTTCCTTTGAATCAACAACCCCCTCCCCCCCCCCCCCCCCAAAAAAAAAAAAGAACAGAAAAGGGACTTGTATTACCAGTGATGAAGCAATACTATAGCTGCATGTTACTCCTCTACATGGTCTCTGGCAAATTGTATTTTCTTCTGTAAGAAAACACACACAAAAAAGACACAAATTAGGACATGGTTACAAAAGAATTGAATTATAAAATATATTCTTGTAGTGATCAAAATTATGTGTCTTACTAGTAGATGAACATAATTTGCCATTTCCCAAATTATGGTGAGAAAATGGTAATATGATTTTGCTTCTGTAGCCAAGTATCATTATTTTATTCTAAAAGAGTGGTGGGAGGGAGAGAGAGAGAAAGGAAGAGAGAGCTACTTGTAGATATCCCACGGTTTCTTTACCCAACCTCATCCAAAAAAGTACCAAAAGTACTGATTACGCTAATTCTGTGCCTCACACTATTTTGGCTAGATTACGTAAGTCTAACTTCGTCCCTGAAGTAATTTCCTTAGAAATCTCGTTACTAAGAGCCCGTTTGGCCATAAAAGAAGTTTTACTTTTTTTGATTTTTTTACTTATTTTCGAAATCATTATTTGAGCATAATTTTTCAATTTTTCAAGGAAATAACGAGTAAATTTCATCGGTAGTCATTTTTAAGTTTATAATACAAAAGTCATTTTGTTATTTTTTGTCACATATAAGTTATAAATTCGGCCTAGATAACTAACAGCAATAAAGGAAAATATCACCTGAAAATTTTGAATTTTATACCAGAAATATGACATGACACTCCAAAATAGCTATTTAGCTAAATAAAATATAAATATAATAAATTAATTTTAGAGACCCCATGTTTCTCTTCGTAATATTACTCTCCCTTGTGATTTAGGTAGAGAGAACAATTTGTAGATTTTTTTCCCACGTTTCTTTACCCATTCTTATCCAAAAAAGAACCAAAGTACTGTTTATGTTTTTTTTTTTTTTTGGTAATTAAGACATATATTAAAACACATACTAAGAGTCATTACATATTGCATTACAAGCGGGAATTGTTCTAGGCCACATAGTTCCTAGCTTGTCCCTTTCCAAAATAGAAATAGCAAAAGTAGGAGGACTAAGATAAGTTGTTAAGCTTCCAAAAGTTGTTAAGCTGCTTCCGTTCTTCGCCATTGAATCAGCCGCCTGGTTTGCCTCTCTGTAGATGTGCTGTAATGGCGGGTCACCTGCTCTACTCAATAGGCATCTGCAATCATCAATCAGATTAAAGGCACAGTTCTTGTTATGGGTTAAGTTTATGAGCTTCTTACAATCTGTTTCAATGGTGAGGGGTAGGTAGTTTTTTTCTATAGCTAATTTCAAACCATGCAGTAGTGCTAATGTTTCCATGTAAATATCGGTTGCATGTGACAAACCCATGTTGTATCCCAAAACCCATTCCCCATTGCCTTTTCGTATGATTCCCCCTATTCCGCCTTTACCCGGATTGCCACAGCATGAACCATCCACATTCAGTTTATAGCTGTTTTGTTCAGGTGGGTTCCATTTGATGAGAATGGAATCTCTATATGTGACAGGCCGATTTTGATTTGTGGCCAGGAGTTTATATTCCATGGCTTTGTTAACGATGTTTTTTAATAGGAGAGGTTTGTAATTATTTTTTAATAGATGTGCCAGAGGATAAAAGGGATAACTTCAGACCAGACGAGATATTCATTAAAATTAGTACTTGAGCTACTTTGAGTTTTTAGCCAGTGGTGCAATGTGTACTTATCTGGTGGCTCCGGAGGTAGCATGCTAAAACCTGCTTGAGCCCAGATCGTTTTGGAGTGCTTGCATCTAAAGAGCATATGCATTGTATCTTCCCTCTCAGTGCTACAAAGGTGACAGTTTGGAGAGTTGGTTATATTCCTGTTGAAGAGCATTTGTGCTGTGTGGAGCTTATTGTGGATAGCCGTCCAGAGGAAGAATTTTATTTTATTAAGAGTTTTGATTCTCCATAACCATTTATAGTCTTGAGTATCCCCCACTTCCTTACCTTGTAACATTTCATAAGAGGATTTGATGGTGAAGGATCCGTTAGAGCTCTTGCCCCAGCTATAATTATCTTGGATAGGTTGAATTTGCTTGATGTAAGTGCTATAGATTTTATTCTTTACCTCGGTGGGGAGTTGGAAAGATAAATTGTTCAAGTTAAAGGAGTTGTTGTCAATGATGTCTGATAGTGTTTGTTGCTGTTCGTGTTTCATTAATGGTCCTTGGATTTGGGCTCTTAGTGATTCCTTGGTTCCTAGCCAGCTGTCTTGCTAGACCCTAATTAATTTCCCATCCCCAATTTCCCAGTGTCTGCCTGTTTTACAGATGTGGGATCCCCGGACTATGTTTTTCCATATATGGGAGCCATTTTTCTCCTGAAGATTCCAGCTTTGCTTTGTATTTTTTTTATCATATCTGCTATGAAGTACCCTACTCCATAGACTATTATTATCTTTTTTATATCTCCAAGCTAGGCTAGCACTGAAGGATTGGTTTTTCTATTTTGTTTTGTATAATCCCAACCCCCCATCTTTCTTTTGCTTTGTGGCCGTGTCCCAATTTATCAAATGGCATTTTTTTTTCGGAAGTGCTCCCCCATAAGAAATTTCTTTGTATTTTATCAATGTTCTTTATAGTAGCTTGTGGGAGATTATTAATTTGCATTACATGGTTAGGGATTGCAGCCAGAGTTGATTTTATGAGTGTGGTCCTTCCAGCTATATTAAGGAAGTTGATTTTCCACCCTTTTAGCCGGTTGTTCAGTCGATCGATGATATACTGGAAGTCTTTCTTTGAAGGGTTGGAGAATCCTATAGGGAACCCTAGATACTTTTCAAATTCTCTAGTATGATTTATAGCAAGACAATTGCTAAAGTCGTTCTTTAAATCAATTGGCACGTTCTCGGAAAATATTAGCCTTGATTTGTTAAAGTTGATGGACTGTCCTGAGTGTGCGCAGAATTTATTGAGGATATCTACTATAGAGTTGCAGCATTTTTGGTTAGCATTTGCTAGAAGTATTAGGTCGTCTGCAAAGAATAGATGGGATAGAGGGGGGCTGGATGGGGAAATCTTTACTGTATCCCATCTACAACAGTCGATTTCGTGGTGGATTAGTCGTGATAACATCTCCATGCAGATGATGAAAATATATGGGGATAGTGGGTCGCCTTGTCGGATACCTCTGGTTGGTTTAAAGAATTCCGAATTGGAACCGTTGACTATGATAGAAGTGGACGTAGTAGAGATACAGGACATGATTAGGTCAACTAGATCTTGGGGGAAGTTTAGGGAGATTAGCGAGAATTTTATAAAGGACCACTCCAGCTTGTCGAAAGCTTTTTCCAAATCTATTTTAATCAGCATTTTCCCTTTTTGTTCTTTTATTTTTTTAAAGTGGTTTAGGGTCTCGTGGATAATAATAGCGTTATCTGAAGATCGTCTTCCCTTCATGAAGCTAGTCTGAGTTGGGTGGATTAGTTTGGCCAGCAAGGGTTTGATTCCGTTTACAATAACTTTTGTAATTACTTTATAGGCTGTGTTACACAGGCTTATAGGTCTATATTGCTTTATAGTTTCAGCATTTTGGCACTTAGGGGTTAGGCATATATAGGTGCTATTCATGTCCTCCGCCATTTTCCTCTCCCTAAATGCATTTTGACAGAAGTTAATTAGTGCTTCTTTGGTTTCATTCCAGAATCTTTGGTAAAAGAATGGATGAAGACCATCCGGCCCAGGTGCTTTGTAAGGTTTGAAGGTTTTCACGGACTGTGATATCTTGGCACAGGTCTTTTTTGTCTATGTTATTTAGGGTTGCATAAAAGGACATATAATGACTCGTTTTATGGGACTTGTTATGGCTTGTGGTGAAGAGTTTGTTGTAGTAATTATAAATGAGAGATTTCACTTCTTTTTGGTCGTAGAACCATTTGCCCACTTCATCTTTAAGGCTAAGAATTCTATTTTTTCTTCTTCTTCTTTGTATTGTAGTAATGTGAAAGAATTTTGTGCTCGCATCCCCTTCATTTAACCACTGTATTCGAGATTTGAGTCTCCAAAATTCCTCCTCTAATTTTAGGATTTCGTTTAATTCCTTCAGGAGATTTGTTTCAAGATCTAGAAGGAATTGACTTGTTGTATAGTTAGGAAAATTTTGTATCCCGTTAATTCTAGCAACTAGTATATTTTTTTTGTGGAAAATATTACCAAAGGTACTAGTGTTCCATTCTTTTACGTTTTTAGTAAAGTATTCAATTGCTCCTAGTATATTATCCTGGTTGGTCCATGATTCCTTAACAAGGTTTTTAAATGAAGGGTGAGATAGCCACATGGATTCCAACCTAAAAATGTTATTGCTATGGGAGAAATTCTTGAAGAGGTCTAGTTTTATAGGACAGTGATCGGAATGAATTCTAGTTAAATGAGTAACGTGAGGTTCTTTAAAAAGATTAATCCAGTTTGCGTTAGCTACATATCTATCTAGCCTTTCCATTATTAGAGTTCTAGTTTTTTTCCTTTTATTAGTCCAGGTATATTTTGAGCCCTTATACCCTAAGTCCGTAAGTCCACAGTAGTCTAAACAATTAAGGAATTTTGAAACCCTAGGGTAACTAATAGGGAGGCCTCCGAATTTTTCATTTGATTTGGTGACTTCATTGAAGTCTCCTGTGACTAGCCAGGCCCCCTTAAAGCTATTTGCAACTGTTTTTAAATTATTCCATAGAATAATTCTTTCTTCTAATAAGTTACTAGCATAAACAATAGATAGTAGCCAAGGTTCTAAGTTAGAATTGTTTACCTTGATCATGGCATGAATCTCTTGGTCAGTTGTTCCAATTCGGTCCACCGAAATATCTCCTACATTCCACATCATAACCATGCCTCCCGAGGTACCTTGTGCTGCTACTTGTGCCATGTTAGTGAAGCCGAAACTGTTCATGAGAGTTCCATGGTCCGCTAATTTTGTTTCCAATAGTGCTACTAGGAAAGGCCTGTTATAATCTAGCATCGACCTGAAAGTTCTTCTAAACTCCTCATTCCCCGCTCCTCTACAGTTCCATACAATCATACTCATTGGTCTAGATGGGGGTGGGGTGTTCTCCTCCGCTTGTGCATGGGGTGGGCTCGCCATGTTCATGTTGGCGTACATCGTCGGGATCATTACTATTCCGTATTTGTAGATTGTTGGTGCTGTCAATTCCCTTATATTGATCGAGCATTTCCTCAAATTCAGCGGGCAACGTAAGATTACCCTTTTTTCTCTTCTTTCCTTGAACACTAGTATTTTTGACGTGTGTAGCATAGCGTATTCCACTCTTTGTGCTGTTGATGTTCCTTCCCCTTCGCCCTCCCCGT